AGGGGGGGCATTCTCCCCCTGCCCCACAAATCATCAGGCCTCTCCGGAGGACCAGCCTGCGCCACCCTCCGCCGCCGCCCCCCCCCCGCTCTGAGCGGCTTTGTGCTGTTTTCGGCTAAAGTAGAGCTACTCCTTCCACAAGGTGGCCCTTTGGGCTAGCAAAGGAACAGGACTGTCAGTGGGGGACGGGGTGGCGACGAGAGGGAAGGGGAGACAGAAGGGGCCCTCGCCCGCCTGGCCAAACCGCTTGCTGCTTCCCTTCCACCCCAGTGGCGAACTGCCAAGGGGAAGAGCCAGATGCGTGCGCGGGGGGGGGGGCGGCTAATCTGTGAGGGGACAATCACAGCGGCCCCAGGCACCAGCGCAGACCCCTGCCCACATCCAGGCCAAAAGGATCCAGTCCCGACTTGCTGAGCGTGGGGGCTGGGATGGGAAGAGGCGGCTTTCCAAATGGTTTTGATCTCTGACCTTTAGCTCTGCCTCTCTCCACATACTTAGCAAGACCCAGGCTTTCAAAGGAGAGGTGAGGGAAAGCCTGAGCCCAAGCCTACCCACCCACCCCCTTGCCGCTTCCGCGCCTGCCGGACAGATGAGAAATAGCCAACAGCTGGCTGCGCTGGGAAGGGCCTGCCCAGGGTAACTGGATCCTGCACCTCCAAGTGCTGAGCCCGGGCAAGGGCTCAGAGCAGCAGGAGGAGTCGGGAGGGAGGGAGGGGGTGCATCGCTGCCGCCAGGCTGGCTCAGGGGTTAAGTGCAGGCCATGTACCAGCCGGTGCCCTGTAAATCATGGACCCGGAGTGCTGGGGTGGAAACAGCCTGGGCAGTCAAGGAGGGCAGCTGCAAGGATGGCCACCAAGGAGGCTGAGAGGGACTCAAAAGGCCCTGGCGAGGAAGCCCAGCTCAGGATGGAGCTGGCCAACAGGAAAGCCAGCCAGCTAGCCAGCCGAAGGCAGGGGGGGGGGGCTCCCCTGCATCATTCTGGAGCAAATGGAGAGCCAGACAGAAAGTCCCAGAAGGTAGACCAGCAGACTTCTCTCCTCTCTAGGTCAGCAGCACCACCATACCAGAGAAGAAGAAAAAGAGGTGGAGGTCAAAATGAAAAAAAGGGGCAACATCCTGGGTTTGCAGCAGAAGGAAGACTCTTGTATGTTGGATCCTGCCCACTGTGCTCTGTTCTTCACTGAGGCGGGAGGAGAAGAGCCTCTGCAACCCTCAGTGCCAGAAGAAAGGTGCAGAGTGGGACTATCTCCTGGCCAACCCAAATATCCCTCAACCTGGAGACTGGGAGGCCAGCTTCAGGGCCACCACCCCGTGCGTGTAGGACAATATGGCAGAGTTGCTCGGCTGGTGAACCCTTTTGTCAAGGCAGAGGAGGGGAGGAGGGGGAGCAACGATTCAGAGGGCAAAAACAGGACAGCAAAAGCCAAGGGGAAGCAGTCCTAAGCAATTCAGAAAAAGGCAGCCCATGTCTCAGGAGACAATAGGTTCCCCCCTTGACAATTTTTGTCCAGTCGTGTCCGACTCTAGGGGGCGGTGCTCATCCCCGTTTCCAAGCCATAGAACCAGCGTTTGTCCAAAGACAATCTTCCGTGGTCACATCGCCAACGCGACTAGACACAGAATGCCGTGACCTTCCCACTGAGGTGGTACCTGTTTATCTACTTGCATTTGCATGTTTTGAACTGCTAGGTTGGGACAAGCAACAGGAGCTCCGTCCGCCGCATGGATTCGATCTTACGACGGCTGGTCCTCCAACCTTGCAGCACAGAGGCTTTTTTGCGGTTTAACCCACAACGCCACCATGTCCCCTTAGAAGACAACGGTGCTGGCCAATGTGCATGGCTGCCATTTCCATGGGAGCTGCTGGGAAGTTCATGGCACTGAATCCTGGACATGCAGAATGAGCGGAAAGGGGCTTCTAAGTTCACCTAGCCAACCCCAAAGCCAAAGCAAGAAATCCACAGCTAAAGTATTCTTGATGGATTGCTGACAAACTCTGTGGAGAAACCTCCTGTGAAGGAGACGGCTAGCCTTTCAAGGCACCAATCCCACTGGTGAAGAACTCCCCTGTTTTAGGCAAGGTCTCCTTGCTTGCCATCCAAATGCCACCTTGGTTCCTTCCCTCTAGCAGGTGTGGGGGCAACAGACAGCCTGCGGGCTTCATGCAGTCCGCAAGCCAACTCCTCCTTTAAGAAAACTGAAAACATTTTGGAGGGTCAGACAACAGACAGCCTGTGGGCTTCATGCAGTCCGCAAGGGCGTGCTTGCAGCCACTGAAGCCACTCACAAAACTCCTCCTTAAAGAAAACTGAAAACATTTTGGAGGGTCAGAAAGCCCTCCATCTGCTAGTCTAATCTGTTTATCCTTAAAGTGCCACATATTTTGTCTTCTCCTCCTTTTTCCTTCTGTCTCCCTTTCGGTTCTGCCAACATTCCAACTCATCATCGCCGTCATTCTCCACCTGGGCCGAGGGAACCAAAGGCTGAGCTCCAGCTAAAGTGAAGGAGAATTACTCTGCTTGATCTCTGGGCACCACACTTCTGCCGATGCGACTGGGTGCTGCGTTGGCTTTTGTTTGCTGCCGCAACATCACACCATCGACTGAGGCTTCTCTTCTGATCTGCTAACACCCCTTGATCCTTTCCGCATATTTGCACACCTGATTTTTCCGGCCTAAATACAGAACTTCACATCCCCCCCCCCCATTTTGTTTTGGCACCATTCTCCAGTTCGTTTAGGCTCTCTTGAATGCCTTTTGGATTAGTCACTCTGACCCCGCTCTCAGTCTCGCTCTCTTTCCCACATGGAGACCATCCGCACATTGGATGAGCATGCCCACAGGTGTGAAGACATTAAGCACCACCAGGCCCTGGGCACCCTCCTGTGGCACGCCAGTAACCAGCTACCTGTGTGTGGTTTCTAGATGGATCGTTATCCTTACTGCTTTGAATGTGCTTTTAATACTGCTTTTGTTTACCATTTTTCAGAATGGTATGTTTCTGTTCCTTTATATTTATTTATGTGTTTATTTATTTATTTATTTCATTTGTATCCCGCCCATCTGGTCTATGCGACCACTCTGAGCAGCTTTGTAATATTTGTATATTCATTGTTTTAAGTTTTGTCTTTTAATAATGCAAGCCGCCTTGGGCCCTTCTTAAACAGAAAGGCAGGGTAAAAATATTTTAAATAAAATAAATAATAAATTATTCATTTTTGAGAAACCCAAGCTAGCATGTAACAATCTATGATGTTTTCCAAGTGACTTTTAAATGTTAATTCTTTATTTAAAATATTTTTATCCCACCTTTCTCCTTTAAAAAAAGGGCCAAGGCAGCTAACTATCTTTCACAATCTGTTCCAGAGCCTTTCCTGGCGTCAAAGTCAAACAGACCAATAACAGGTGGGTCTCCTTCTCAGCCCAGATAGGAGACATGAGGAGAGGGGCCCGTCCTGTATCGAGGAAAGCGGGCCTCAAAGCCAACCCTCACCAAGCAGTCCAGGGGAAAGGTGCCCAGTCGTCAGGGAACCAGTGCCGAAGGAGAACAAGAAGGGGCTCGGGCCCCAGAGAGAGGCTTCCATCCCTCGTGCCTACTGCCTGGAGCTGTCCCACAGGAGGCCAAAGGTAGAACTCAAGACAGGGAAAGGCGCATAGGGCACCAGGTTCGCCCCCCCCTTCTTGACCCCACCAGAAGCGCCCTGCTGAAGAACCAACAGTGCCCTCCTTCTGGGAAAACCTCCAAGAAACACCCATTGTCTGATGGCCTTGAAGTGGATGGTTGTCTGGTCTCAGAAGGCAGTTCACAGACGAGGCCCCAGTGCTGAGAGCGACTTTAAAGACATCCTCACTCCTCAGATCTTTCCCTCCCCGTTCTAAGAAGAGTGAGTCTTGCTCCAAACAAAGGACTGAGCATAGGACACACGCCCCCGTCCTTCAGCACATGCTCAGGAGTAATGGGAAGGACCATCCCTGCACTGAGACACAGGGGGGGGGGGATGCCATGACACCGCCTGCCAGCCAGACAATGAGGATGGCCGTCTGCGTAGAGAGGAAGGCTCCCAAAGGCTGCAGGCAGCTCGGCCACATCGAGCCAGGCCTCCCGCAAGCTCTGCAGGCAGATTCAGAGGACCCCACAGATCAACAAGGCGAGGTCTCTGTGCGTCCCTTCCTTGTCACCACCCTGACAGGGGCTCCTGACAGCATCCTTGCCATTTGCTTCTGCAGAAGGTGGGGGCTGCAACTGGGACCACTAATTCTGGCACCTGGACAGAAACCGGGGGGGGGCGGGGGGGAGAGTGAGGTGCTGACAGAGATTAATCTACCCAGCCAGCTCAGCAACTGTCGCTCAGCAAACCTACCTGAGCTGGCAGCCCATTAAATCACCACACTGGAATGGGAAGAAAGGGCAGTCATGGAGTCTGGCCCCCTTGCCAGGGGGAATCCAGCAGAACCCCCCTCCCAAACACACAGACATTAGGTGTGAAAAGAAGTGTGATCCTGCCACCATCTGGCCAGTCTGGAGAACAGCAGCCACAAGAAGCTCCCCACCACCACCACCTGACCCAGGAACTGGCTTTCTTTTCCATCTGGGAAAAAAACATTTAAGTACTGTATTTGGAGATGTGGTGGCGCTGTGCACTAAACCTCAGAAGCCTCTGTGCTTCAGGGCCAGAAGACCAGCAGTCGTAAGATCGAATCCACGCGAGGGAGTGCGCGCCCGTTGCTTTGTCCCAGCTCCCGCCTACCTCGCGCTTCGAAAGCCTGTCAAAATATGAGTTGATAAACAGGGACCACCTCGGTGGGAAGGTTACAGCATTCTGTGTGTAAGGTGCACTGGCCATGTGACCACGGAAGATTGTCTTCGGACAAACGCTGGCTCTATGGCTTGGAAATGGGGATGAGCACCGCCCCCTAGAATCGAAGACGAATGGACAAAAAAATTGTCAAGGGGAACCTTTACCTTTACTGTATTGGCAAAAGGTCCTGGAAGAGATGAGAGAGCTTTTCAGATATTTTATTCAAAAAATAAATTCCATCTCTAAGAGAAAAGATGCTTAAATTAAGGTGTATGGGGGTGAGGAATGGGTGCTACAGACTGCTGCGCCCTCCCCCGTCTGTGTGTGTGTGTGTGCGTGTGTGTGCGTGTGTGTGTGCGTGTGTTTGTGCTGATGGTGGTGCTGATGGTGAAGGCCCTGCCAGCTGGGCCCCTACCTCCTCTTTTCCTTCACGCTGTAGTGGAGCAGCAACGGGGCCGGCTGCAAGAGAAAGAAGGGGGTGTGAGAGAGACTGCATCTGCACTAGGGTGGAGGACACACACACACACACACGAGATCCCCAGCCCAGACACTGCTTACCTTGCCAAACCAGCGGGAAAGCCAGAGCTGTTTCAGTGTCATGGAATCAGGCAGCAACTCATTGTTGAAGAGGATATGGACCTGCAGAGAGGGAAGGGTTTCTCTTTCCCATCCGCCCGGGGCTGGGGTGCCCACGACCCCTGCTTCTGGGATGCCGGCAGGCCCCTTTTGTTTCTCCCCCATGGGGTCCCAGCCCCCCCCCACTGCAGCCCCAACAACGTGGGTCTCACTCACATGTGGCAAAGCCAGCTCCAGGCGGCAACACAGCACTCGGCGGAGGTGGCGGATCTGGGCCCGTGCTGAGCATCGGACGTATTTGTGCTGGGTGGGGGGACAGAGGAAGTTATGGGGAGAACAAGGAGAGCCCCATGCCCCTATGCTTTGCAAACAAACTCCTCTCTTCCCCCCCCCCATGGCTCAAAATTCACCCCCAGCACCTCCCTGCACAGATAGGGTTGGGGGGGGATAAGAGAGTTTTCAGGCACTCGGGAAGTCAGAATAGCCAACTTCAGCCAGAAACAGGAAGCAGAACAAAAGACCTTTCAGGTACATCCCCCACCACCGCCCTGCCCGCGCGTGCTCAGCCCTACAAGAACCGCAAATCTTCACCCCACCCGTGGGCCTCCTGCCCTCCTCCCACTGCAGCCCTCCTTTACCTGCAGGATATGCTTGTTCTTTTCTTTTCCAGAGCTGCAGAAAGGAAGGGGAAAAAAGGAGGTGCGAACTAGGCTAGCGAGAAGAGGGGCTGCCCCCAGGGGATGGCAGACACACACACCCCGCAGGAATCCACCAAGAGGACCTGCTCTCCTGCCAGGTAGGTGTGCTGCAGGGATCAAGGCCCTCACCCACAGAGTCCAGAGGCGGCACAGGGAAGCAGGGCTTTGGGGTGGACATTGAACACCGGTTCCTGAAACCCCCTTCCTCCTCCACCAGAGCAGGGTCTCATTCTTCCAGGAGTCCATCTCTGTGCACTAGCTGCCCTGACTCAGAAAGACCAGGAGCTTGATATTTTGGGGGGGGGGGTTGTGTGACTGCTGGAAGGCTGTCATCGCTCCTCCAGGGCTCAGCCTCTGAAAGCGCCCCTTGGGGCACAGCGACTCCTTGTGCCCCAGCAAAGGAATGGATCCAGCACCAGAGGAGGAAATTGCCGGGGGGGGGGGGGG